AAAAATCCAATGCGCAGGCTGGAAGGTGGAAAGACCTTCCCCGGTTCTTCGTTCGCGAAGAGACTGGCCATTATTACATAAAGAGATAGACAGTTCTGCAAAGAAATAGGGAAGAGGGCTGTGGACCAGTTGCCTTATGAAAAATTTTACTTCCATCATTCTTAGCATGAGTCTTACACTACTTTTCTGCTCAGCAGAGTAATGCTGTGAGTGCATATGAATGTTTTTAATTATTAATGTGTACCTTCTTTGCTACAAAATGCCAGAATATTTAGCAGTGATTCTAAAGTGCATGAGCCACTTGGCCAGCTGGAGGCCAGTTCTTGTTATTCATTTGAGGGCTCTAGTCTGCAGCAAGAGCATGACAAAATGTGATGCTGCATAGGAACCTCCAGATTTTTATCATTGCTGCTCCATTATCCTGCTTAAACATCAAATACAGTAAAAGTTAATTTTATGCTGGTTGACATATGTTTTCCTGAATTGCTGCTGTCTTCCCAGTAATCTACCATGGTCCTTATGTGCCTTAAATATTTTTTTTAAGCACATTAAGTGTCATTTTAAGCACTGATATAATAACTGTCTTCTATTAACACAACCATTACTTTTCTTCAGGTCAAATTGGGAAATTTTGAGCATGAAGTCAAACCAACATCATCATACATATATTTGTATGTTCTTATTTTGCTACCTATTGTAGTGGGTGTCATTATAGGTAAGTACAATAATGCATTTTCGTTTTTTGATTTGCTGAAGGGTATAATCATGACACAAACACATACATACATACATACATGTCTGGAACTGTAACTAACAGTCTGGTGGTGTTACCCTGTTTCCAGTAAGAGTGGACAAAGTTAACTCTGTTCTGGTGGTGAAGTCCATCTTGTGAGACTGCAGCACATTACAAGTAGTTCTGTCTGTTCTGCTGGGATTATTCACAATCATTTCATCAAGCAGGCCATAGGACTGACATCCCTGTGTCACAACTTGGTCCATTCCAGCTGCCAAAGCTGGGCTACCCTCCTGTCCCTAGGGCAGATGTTCCCTAGCAAACTTGAACATCCCTAGCAGATGTTCAAGCAGTGTTTGTGGTGTTTCTGCTCAGTCTCATTTGGATTGTTCATGAACTTGTGGGCCATTACTAAACTGAGAGAGGTAAATAGTTATCCCATCCTGTTTTTAGTGCTCCCTTTTTCTTTTGCATGTTTTTACCTGATTATATATTTGATAAATTTCCATTTATTTTAAGGAGATTTGGTGTTTGATCTTTTAGTTGGTTCCTTTTTTTAAAAAAGTTCCTTTTAAAAAGGAACCATATCTCATGCTTTTATACTCTCTCAAAATAAGCTTTAGAGAGGTTAACAATTTAGAAGTGGATTTCCTGTTCAAAACAACTGTTTTTCCTGTTTAATCAGTGCTACCTTAAGTAAGTTGCTATTAGTAGAAGTGTTTGTGTCTCACTGTGCAGGCTCTATGTAGCAGGGTGTGTTGTACTTTCAGATAAAGTTGGATTGAAAATTCTAAGACCTTGTTAAAAGGAATGATTTTATTAAACATTGGGATATAAATCCAGATAACTAGGGCTCTTGGGTACTAGCACACTGACAACAGTGAAACACTAATCCTCCTGGAGAGTGCAAGTTTGCATTAATCTTTCTGTTTCTTAAAATAATAGTAAAATATGTCTGTTATATGATGGTTTTCTGTTCTGCGCTTTTTTATACTCATAATCTTTTTTTCCTCCTTTTTAGCGGCATTCATAGTTACTCGATACAAATCCAAAGAGTTAACTCGTAAACAGAGTCAGCAACTTGAACTGCTGGAATATGAGATTCGTAAGGAAATACGCGAGGGTAGGTCTAAAGAGCTTTACAGAGCTTAAGTATAGCATAATTTCTGAACTGAACCTGTCAAGAAGCTCACATTATATAAACGTTGTTATTTTGTAGCTGTTAGGAGTATTTTTGTGTTGGATCAGAGTTCCTCTTTAGTACTGTGTGCACTGCAGTAGCAGATAGCACTGAGCTAGTAGGATTGCATGTAGTATTTCATTTAACAACAGTCAGGGGGAAAAATGGATTGCTACTTCCTTGCTCATAAGAGCTCCAGCTATAAAAAGAACCCCTCTTCCCTGAAAACTGGTTTTTAAGGAACTTCTACTGGGGACAAGTTGTATTTGTGAAGATGATTTTGTGTCAACTAAACTAACTCTCTGCATGGGGATGGGGTTGCTCTTTCAGGATTTGCTGAACTGCAGATGGATGAATTAGATGTGGTGGATAGTTTTGGAACTGTTCCCTTCCTTGACTACAAACACTTTGCTCTTAGAACCTTCTTTCCAGAGGTAATGTTTACAAGTCTTTCAGTTGTCAGGCCTGACTCATATTAAAAAAGCTAGGAAGCTCAGGATCAAATAACGAAAGAAAATACTATACAGTAATTGCTCATTGTTTTCACAAGAAACTTTTCTTAAATCAAAAATTACCAAAGAACACTTAAGGCTGTACTTCTCTAGATTTAAGCAAGCCTTTATGCTGTAGCTAAAGCAACATTCTTCAGTTTTCAAGGGTTGTGTGTGTATCCATTTCTTTTTGTCCAGCCTCACTCAGCTGCTTGCCTTTCAGGCCATCCTAACTAAGCTATAATTTATCCATTGCTCTTTTCGCTTCCATGCTTTCACTTCCCATGCTATAGCTAATTAGATAACAGTAAGGCTAGCTAACATGCTAGCTAACATCATGACACTCCCTAATTAGATTGATGAAGAAATTGTGCTGACTTTCTACACCAAGGTGCTGACAGACATGGTAAGATGTTGATTCAAAGGGGTGCAGGTCAAATGCTTAGAAATTCTGTAAGTGCTTGTGTTGTCCACTTTAGAGGTGGATATTTTCAGTGTTCTTTGGAGCAGTTTGTGCCACTGTGTCAGAGAACCAGATGCCTTCTCTTGAATGTTTTATTTTTCTTACTGCTAAGGTTTTTTTGCGTGTTTGGCACATTACAAGCTGATAAGTACCTTTGCCACAACTTTCAAAATTATATCATGGTGTTTACCAGTGCTTACCAGCATTTACCCAATTGGCAGAAGCTGTGGTCTCAACTGGTGGTGGTTTTTTGTATAACTGACACCAAAGAATAGAAACCCTTGGTTAGTTTAGGGCATAACTGGTATGTATGTGGATTATCTACTAATCTTCACGTGCTACTCATCACTGCTGTGGCCAAGTCCTGTAGTCTTGTCTGCACACTGCTTCACTTTGTGCTGAAGTTAAACACGTGTGATAGTGCAGAATCAGGGCCTTTGTTTTTTGTACAACACCAAATATTATATACTAAGGCAGAATAATATTTGGCAATTACATATGCAGAATCCTTGTATACTTTGAGTCTGCTTCTCACACCAAAGGATGCTGTGAATCTCTCTTCTGGTACTGCTGTGATGCCCCCAGCCTAATTTGTAAGGGGTCACCTTGTGGTTTGAAGAAAGTAGACTAAGGCAATCTTGCTTTCTACATCCCTTTCCTTTCTGTTTGTTTTGTTGCCAGGCATATTAACATTAAAATAGGGGGTTTTGTTTTTTGTTTTTTTGGTTTTTTTTAAAGAATATATCTTCTACTACTGATAGTCCCCTGTCAAAACAGTAATAATCTGTAGAAGCTGTCTGAGTGGAAATGCTGTGCTTTATGCAAATAAAAAGTAAAGAAAAAGAGGCATGAAGTCTGCCACTCTGTGGCATTCTAGAAAGTCAGAATGAAGGGCTCCTGTTTTGCCTTGGTGAGACTTGTGCCACTGCACATTCCGGAAATTATTCCAGTTGGATTTTGTCTCAGTTTGAAATAGTGATACCACAAAGGGGTTGCTTGCTACTATTAGCCCTCTACAAACATGCAGTGTCAGGCAAGTTAATTAACGTGTTGTGTACCAATGTTTTTCTTCTAAGTACTTACTGTTTGCATTGCAGGAGTGTCCAAACATGCCTTGTGCTGTATGAATGTGGTAGGAAAGCAGTGCTCCACTAAACAAACATTATAGATGAACAGAAAAACCGATGGGGTCGAGATTGCCACTGATTGTCACAAAGGTTGACAGAAGGGTCGAAGTGCAAAGCCACCACTTCCTTCACTAATCTCATGTGTTTGAATGATGTCCATATCGTACTCTTTCTGCCTTCTAGTGTATTTAATGGGCTTTGTCACATCTAATCTAAGCTATTTAAACATGAACATCGAAGCTGTTTGCTGAGCATCTTCTGTAGTCAGTGCAGAGATGGGCAGCTCAATAAAGTGATTCATCCCATTTGCCTGAGACACTCTCTCAGGATGGGACAAGTTTAAGCTTATAGAGGGAGTCAGATACCTAAAATTAAGAGTGATGGACCCTATCTTCATTTTGAGAGCCTCACTTTCCACTGCTTCAGTTTTCTATATTTAATCTGGCTTAATAGCTTTTGGTTTTTTGCTTAATGCTTGTACATGTTAAATGGATATTATATCTAATCTTCTAATGTTCTTGACGTTCAGCCTATGTTTTGCTTTACTTGTTAAATTTGTATTATTATTTCTGTTTTCCCTCAATTTCATGCACTGTTGGGTTTAATGCTACGTGCTTGTTCTGTGCTCACAAGCGTTTTAACCTTTAATGTGGTTCTGGTTTTCTCAGTGTGTGCGTGTGTGTTTCATTGGTAGTCAGTGTATGGGTTGCTGAAGAAGTTCTGGAATAATTGGAATAGCCAGTGGAGAAAGAAGAAGAAGAGTATGGTAGGGGAGAAGAGAACAGAAGGAACAAAGACAGGGAGGGATGAAAAATCACATATGTAGATGAAAAATTAGATGCGAGATGGCGATATGCGCTCATAGCCCAGAAAGTAAATTGTACCCTGAGCTTCATCAAAAAGAAGTGTGGCCAATGGTCGAGGGAGGTGATTCTTCCTCTCTTCCCCTGTGAGACCCCACCTGGAGTACTGTGCCCAGTTCTGGGCTCCCCAGCACGAGAAAGACACTTACCTGTTAGGTTGGGTCCAGAGGAGGGACATGAAAACAGTCAGAAGGTTGGGACACCTCTGCTGTGAAGAAAGACTGAATGAGTTTGGGTTGTTCAGGGAGGCTCTGGGGAGACCTCCTTGCAGCCTTTCAATACACAGGAGGCTTATAAGAAAGATGGAAACAAACTTTTTAGCAGGGCTTCTAGTGACAGGACAAGGGGCAATGGTTTCAAACTGAAAGAGAATAAATTTAAATTGGACATAAGGAAGAAATTTTTTATGATGGGAATGATGAGACAATGGAACAGGTTGCCTAGAGCAGTTGTAGATGCCCCATCCCTGGAAGTGCTCAAGGCCAGGTTGGATGGGGATTTAAGCAGCCTGGTCCAGTGGAAAGTGTCCCTGCCCATGGTAGTGGGGTTGGAATGAGATGATTAAGGTCCCTTCTAACCCAAACCATTCTGTGATTCTGTAAAGAAACTAGGGGCAGCCAGCATCACAGATAAAGCAGGTGACAGTAATTGTTACTAGTGTTAAATTTGGTGCTCAAGAGGCACTGACAAGGTATTTGGGAACTGGGGGCTTCCCTTTGTGTGAGGGCTTTTGCTAGGACTGGATGTGTGGTGGCACCTGTGCCTCTCTGGAGACTGACAGCAGGGACCTCCTGGAGAGTTCATTAGTGAACATTCATAAAATGCCTTGAAATGAATGCAGGCAGATGAGCTCAAGTGTCACTCTGTTATGGAAACTGTGTATACCAAAGGCTATCATTGCCATCCAAGAAGGATGCAGCCTGCAGCACCCCTTGCACACCAGCACATTTGAGGATGAGGGTAATAACCAGCTCTTCCTGCAGAGCATTAGTTGATTGCTGTGCTAGTGCAGCTCAGCAGAATCAAGTAACACACTCAGGAACACTGAAGTCAATACCAGGTCATCTTTGAGAGTTTACTTTTCAATGAACTTTGGCCACACTTTTGCAGAAGTTACTGTGTAGAGTTTTTATATTGTCTCTGCTTTAGAATCTGGCATTTACATTGTTTTATTTCTAGTAGTATCAGGAACATGCTTGGTGTGTTTAACATACATGTGTTAGAAACTTTTGGTATACTTAAGAATGATAAATATCCCCTTATATTTTAGTCAGGAGGCTTTGCATCCATCTTCAGTGAAGAAATGCCACAGGTAAGTTGATGTAGTGTGATATGCCTTAATTATTGTTTTTTCAAGAATGATTGTATCTCTTCTCTCAGTGTTGTTCTAGAACACATGAGCTTACATTTTCAGTATGTTCCCTACCCTACTTGAGGAGGCTTACATGGATTTATGTATAAAAAGCGTTTTAAATGTAAGATGCTGTTACCCAATGTATATTATGACTTATTTAAATAAAATAAACAGAATTTAGTCATGGGAAATGATAGGCAAACTTAACTACTGGCACTACTGTTATTACTTTGTATATTTGGCAGTAAATGTATGCTCTGTATGTGTGTGCTCTGTGTTGTACACAAATGCAAATGCATCTTCGGTAAACTCCTGAGAGTATGAAATAAATGTGAAATTCCCACTGATGTGAATGAGGCCAGGATCTTATCCCATATGTTTCTTACCATTTTTCTGAGCATTAAGAATCCATCATAGCAAATCTACAGTTTGCTTATTTTTGTTTAACTATTCCAGAGCAGAGACCAAACGAGCAAGGATGAAAGCTTCAACATGTTGCATGCTTTAATTTGTAACAAGAACTTTCTTGTTACTCTCATTCACACCCTTGAAAAGCAGAAAAATTTCTCTGTGAAAGACAGGTATAGTATGATTATGCTTATCATCTTCAAGACAAAGAATTAGCAGGAAAAAACAACGTGGATTGTAGCACACAAATGTAATTCCTACTACTTGCAAAACAAGTTTGCAGTACTCCAAAGCATTTTTCCTTTTCCTCCATCTGCGCAAACTGAGGAAGAAAAAACATTACCATTAAAACAAGCCATTAAAGAGAAAGTGGAATATTTGTACATGTAAACAGAGGCAGAGGAGCAGGAAATATCACTTCAAAACTATAAACACTTCCTGCAGTTAGATCAACAGTTCTACAGTTTAGAAATGTTCTGTCACTGAAGCAGGTGTTGTTCTGCAGAAGTAAATTTAGAGGCACAAATTCTGCATTTAAAAAATAATCACAAGAGCAGATGGACTTGCATTTTTTATATTTTTGTAAAGAACAGTGGACAATTTCTGTGCCTGAGGAGGGAAAACATAGGATATGAACTGCACTAAAGTGTATTTCTCTTATTAAATCTGACTGGTAAGAGATACTCTAAAATTACAGCTTGCTGCTTCTTTTTTTTTTTTTTTTTTTTTTTTTTTTTTTTTTTTTTTTTTTTTTTTTTTTTTTTTTTTTTTTTTTTTTTTTTTTTTTTTTTTTTTTTTTTTTTTTTTTTTTTTTTTTTTTTTTTTTTTTTTTTTTTTTTTTTTTTTTTTTTTTTTTTTTTTTTTTTTTTTTTTTTAACAGGTGCTTGTTCGCATCCTTCTTGACTATTGCATTACAAACTAAGCTAGTTTATCTGACCCATATTTTGGAAGTGTTGACAAGGGACTTGATGGAGCAATCAAGCAATGTACAGCCTAAGCTCCTGCTCAGACGAACTGAATCTGTGGTAGAAAAATTGCTGACAAACTGGATGTCTGTCTGCCTCTCTGGATTTCTCCGGGTAGTGTACATATTTTCATTACATAAGAGATGTGAAGAATTTCATTAATTGATTTTTTCCATGGGAACTGTTCGAGGGATCAGTTTAAAGCATTTACTCTAACATACAACATTATTGGTGTGCACTCTTCTAGTTTTAGGTGACTTAGCTGGTTGTCATCAGCAGGATGCAAGAAAAGAGTATGACATGATCACCTCCAAACAATGATCATGTCCTTTGTTTGGCCAAGATTTGGGTAATTTTGTAATTCTAGCATATCCTTTTCTCCTGTCAGACATGATTTCAGCCCAGTGAGATATGCTGTGATCATACTAAAGGACTGACACACTTGTTCAAACACAGCAGTACCTTTCTTTGCAAGTTGTTGGAAAACTAAAATTCTTTCCAAACTTTTCAACCTCCAAACAGCACTGAAAATTTCAACAACTAAATGGCTTCAAATAGAAACAGAATAAGCATTTTGTTTCATTTTACTGTTTGTTTTTTCAAGTCCACTTGGTAGCACTTTGTTCTTGGTTTCAGAGCTTGGTTACATTTCCTGTCTCTCTTATCAATGTGATGATATTGCACTGATGGTATCACTCTCATCAGTCCTTGCATTCATACAGCAGCAGAACTGTTTGATGCTCAGCAGCTCACACCGGTTTCCAGAAGCCCCAGGAGAGTGCCAAGGAACTGTCAGAGATGCGTTCTCGGTACACCAGTCATCTTTACAGAGCTGTGCTACTGAGATGCCTTAGCCAGGCTGCAGGAATGGTGTCACGTGGAAACAGAGATACACCCTTCCTTCCTTTCTTGGGTGCTTTCCTGAAGACTGGGGTTTAGGCAGGAGAGAAAAGGCCCAATTTCATTCCCTCTTTTGTTGATACACTAGTGTATGTCCCACCATCTTGGTCCCAAGGCGTTTTTTCAGGGACAACAAGGGGAAACAACAATTCAAAAGGAATTTTAGTTGTTAGCTTGTTTTCTCACAGGACTGAAAATGGAAGAAATAGCTGAAGTATGCGTGTGAACACGTGCATATCTCACTTTCCACCTACTCTTTGGTGGAACGAGGAAGTGTCTGCCAGGTGGAGTAGGAGCAGCTTGTCTGTAGTGTGCTTGTGCACAGCAAGGGGCTGTGAGCTATCTTGCCACACACTCCAGCTGTCCCTTGCTATTTGCATGAGACTTTTACACTGAAAAGCAAAGGATGGAGGTTAAACAAATAACTAGACAAATCTGCTCAGGGGTATTTTCTAATTGCAAGATAACAAGTTAGTTAAAAGGAAATAACATCATTTGTTACACTTGATCTTTTTCTAGTTATTCATGCTTATTTAAGGATTACAAAAATAAACATGTTTCTTTCCTTCTTTTCATGTCCTAGGAGACAATTGGTGAACCTTTCTATTTGCTGGTGACAACCCTCAATCAGAGGATAAACAAAGGACCTGTTGATGCGATAACTTGCAAAGCCCTGTACACACTTAATGAAGACTGGCTGCTGTGGCAAGTGTCTGAATTCAAAACAGTGGTATGTTTGCCAGCTTGTGTTCCCTCCAAACACGGACACTATAATGTTTTCTCTCTTTCTTGGAAGCTAAATTAAAGTTTTTAGACACTAAGGTGATGGTTAAATACCCAGATAGTAAAATTATTATTGTTGACAAAGTTTCAGAACACAATTGAGTTTAACTAACTGGTATTTCAACCAATATATATTTCACAAATAGCACTCACTCCTCACTTCACGTTATGCAATAATCACCAAAAGTTAGGTTTAGTGAAGTCTCAGGGTATTAAAAAATCCTTCTTATTTTAAAGTGTTTTACAAAAATGTAAAGATGCATAGAATTTAAACTAAATTACACTTTACCAATGAATGAAAGAGTGAAATGCAGAGGTTTTATTTTCCTGTTGTGTTGACTTGTGGCTAATCTTCAGGCAGAATTTGCTGTGGGTTTCCATCTTATTAGCACCAAATTAGCAAGGTTACAGCATGGTTAATTTTACTTACCTGCTTGGTTAAAACCAAGGTATCTGGGAAGTCTAGCTTAGATTCTGAACTTTACTATAGATTTTTTTTGCCTTTCTCAAAGCAACTAAGAAATACTCTCTATTTTACTGTTGAACCCAGACTTCCTTGAAAGCTGGAGTTCTCTTACTGATTGTCACTCTGACACTGAGATGAGATAGCAGGATTATTGCACTTCGGACGTGTAAAATTGTGACTTTGGGAGTAGGAGGTCTGAAAAAGGTTCTCAGAATAACCAGAGCACTTTTTTGCTCCAGATTTTTTCTGAGTGATTTTGGGTCTGCATTGCCAGTCATTTGCATAGCTTCTTTACTTCTTAACTCCTGGCTTCCTGATGGAGTTACCATACTTAATTAGGAGTATGGGAAGTGTAACTGAAGAGGGGGCTTCAGACATTGGCAGCAGAAACTGCCAGGCAGCAACGGCAGTGGCAGGGACACTGCAAGTGTGGGTGGCTTTGGAGGAGAATTCTGGCATTTTCAGAGCCTGTATCTGGAGTCTCAGATAGGGCTGAAGCTTCTAGGTCTGCTCATCTGTTCTGCAGCAAGAACCTGGAGGTCCTAAGATGCCATATACTGGAACAGACTACCTGACCCTGGAAAATTTGGCTTGTCAGCAATCCACTGGATTTAGCTCACTGGGTCACGTAGGAAACGCACTGAAATGGCAACATTTCTGTGAATCATTTCTGAATTGTCATTTTCTGCTGAAAACCCTCAAACTGATAAAGTTACAGTTAAATTTTCTTCTTACAAAGCTGTTGCTAGAAGCTTCATTTGAAGGAACTTGAAGCTAAGTTACCACATTTGGAAAGAAAGTTTGGGACCTAAAAATTAAATGCATCATACAAGATATTTGGGTTCTTTGTTTGTGTGCTGCATTCTGTCATGCATTTGAGATCCAGAGTGAGTTTATAATATTCCTACATGTAGCCATAGAATACAAACCCAGTAGTGATGCAGAGCAACAATTTTCAGGCAAGCCCAATATGCCTGTTAGTAGTACACTGCACAGAAACATCTGGTCCTGTGGAATTGATTGCCTTTTCTTATTTAAAGCACAAATCCAACTCGAGAGCCCCTTGGGGTATAGCTGACTCTGAAAATGCTGAAGAACCTTAAATACTTTTCCCAGTGCTACTTTTATGCATGCAGTCACTAAAAGGGTCTTGTGGTCAGCCTGCAGAGAAGAGGAAAGAAGGGAAGTGGTGTAAGGACTCGCTATCACTGGGGAAGGCTGTCTGCAGATGGATGAGGAAGTGAGAGAGCACATAACCTTTCTCAGATGTTGTTTGCTGCCTTTCTACTTTGTATTCCTGCTTTTAAAAAGGAGATAATGATACTGTTACAGGGTTAGTAAGTCAGCTTTCCCAGTAAAGGTGCAACAGTTTGTTAGCTGAGAAGTGGCTTAACATTCCCTTTAAAACCATTAGAAAAGGAGAGAGGATCCTGCAGTGAAATCACAGAGATGAAGTCTGAGGATTGTAGCTCTTGCTGGACATGGGAACAGTTTTGTTTGGCGTTTTTATCTGAGTTTTATGCTGGAAACTAAAACTGTGCTGTGAAAGACACTTAGGTGGAATGGTGAGACTTTCTGGGCTGAGGAAGCAAGCGAGCTGTGCACATTTTCTCTTGGAAGAATAGCATTTAACAGGAGGCTAAAGAGGAAGTAGTCAGGTTTTCTTCTCTTACTAACACCATTTCACATGGACTGTAATGACATGCAGGACCTGTGATCATACAGACAGGGAACCTTACTGTGGAAGAACATTTCTGCCTAAGGGGTTGCAGGGTTTGTTTTCTACATGGAATAAATTCTGATCTGAATTTTCAAATGCATTTGCACGTTTGCTAACTGCAGTTACATTCTTAGTCTGACAGTATTTTGTTGGTATTTTGTTTTGCCCCTTTCCCCAGCCTTGCAACAGCTGTACATTAAAACCTACCTGTTCAGAGCAAAGCATAAAAATACAGCCAAGAAGAGGGTGACAGAAAGATACTGAAGCACAGCTGCAGACACTTAGTGTCTAAATTTTTTAAGCTGTGTAGGCACTTGAAGACACAGGGATACATCTGCTAGGGAGTTCAGTTCTCAAATCAGTGACCGGGCACAAACAAGGGTGTAGGCACTCTGCGTGAGAATCGCTCCTTTCAGGATAGGGAGTTCAGTTCCAATCCAATCAAAGCAGGATACAGATGGGCTCTTAAAAATCAGGGGGAGCTCCACAGGTCTTCTCCTAAACACACCACTGTGCAGATAAACTCTTGGCAGACAAAGAAGAACCTAGGTATAGAGAAAGAAGGAAGGACAGGTCATTTGTAACCAGAAAAAAAAGAGAACTAACAACCATGTTGGGTTTGAATTGTATGACAACTGTTCCTTGGCAGGGCCCCATGCCTTTTTTAAAAAGGCCACAGACCTTGGGACCACCCAGCCCCCTACTCTTAGCCCTCTTTGCTAGAAAGGGTGAGATATTGAACAAAGAGGGGCTGCTGAACTACATACTCAAGTGGAGGAACTGAAGGAAAGATGCTTCTAGAAGCATGGGTCAAGGATGAGCTGAGGAGCTGTGCTGTTTCGTGCTGTGCTTATATTTGAGTAGTGAGAAATAAAACTGCCTTGAAAGAGACTTGGATGTGTCATGGAGCCTTTTCTCAGGCTGAGGAAGCAAGCCTGCTTTCTCACAGGCAGACAAGCAGCTGCACCCCTTGGCAGATAATTTGCTCAATGACTGCTGAAGAAGTGCACTGCACAGCTGAGTGTTAGCATTTCACTGAAGTGTCTCATTTTGAATAGAAAAGCTACACAATGCCAGTCTGGCATGGGAGGAGTTCTCAGTGGTATGTCTCCTGTGGAAAACCAGGGGAGATTTCTTCATGTGGTAGACTTGGTGCTCCAGTATTCTTTTGAATAGTCACTGTTTATTTTAAAAAAGGCATTTGGGCTGTTGAATTCTTTGATGAAATGTGTTTGTGTTTTTAGATGGGAATAAATTATCTAATTCACCTGTTCAGCCAACAGCCTTTTATTAAAAGTGAAGCTAAGACATGGTGGAAGGTTCTTTAAAGTGTTCAACGGCTTTGTGAGTTAAAAGAAGGGTGTTAAAAGAAGTGGGAGGCCTGTAAAAGAGTAAAACTGAGACAGAGAAACCAATTTCCTAATAAGACATCATGATCGTGGTATTATTAGTCACACTTTGTGAGAGATAAGGAAGATATTAAAAGCATGTGACATATGGGGATTTTTGTCTGCAGAAAAGGACACAAAAGCTCTCACTAGAAAGTGAGCAATGCAGATATTGGCTACAGGAGAGTCTTCTGGATTAGAAACAGAGTACCATATACTACAGCATCTACAGCACAATCCTTCCTTTGTGTAGAGCCCATCTAGCCTAAATTTACCTCCTATAACATTTTCTGTGCCAATTGGTTAACTGTTCTGTAACCTCTTCATGGGTAACTGTTCTGGCTGCTGCAGAAGGATCATGAAATCAATCTGATTTTTCCTGTTTATTGTATTTCATAGTCTGGGAGACAGGGGAGTAGTTTAAGGCAGTTTCATTGTGCTATATGTCACGGTGCTGACTCTTTACGTAAACTGTCTAACTTTCACCAATCAGAAAGGGGTTTTTTGGTTTTTTTTCAGTCTCTCTGATAAATGGAAATATGATCTGTTCAGATGCATAGCTGAATAGAGAACAGGGTAATGAATAAGAGCCCTTGAATATCCCAGATTATTCTTTATTTCTTGGAAAATATTATATTATCTCATTTCTTTATTAAACTGCATCTCATTTATTATCTGCTATGTTTATTAATAGCTTTAGTAAATAATTCATTGTTTGAAATTAATTTTCAAGAAAACTACAAATCTGAAAAGCCGTCTGTAAACACTGTCTTCAAATGTTGTTATTTTTGTCACTGCGTGAGTGCAAATATGTTTCTTACATTTGTTCCTGTCTTGTAGCTAGGTTCCAAGCTAGTTGCTATACAAATAGTTACAGGTGCTTGCCACCTTCTTCTCAGGTAACCTTTAACAACTCTTGCAACCCATCTTAAAGCTTTTATGAAGAGCACTGTGACTTCATCTTGCTAATCACTAATTTCTAATGCATGAAGTCTCATCTCTAGATATTGCTAAGTTAAACATGTCCTGTAGTTTTCTCCTGAATCTTTCCTAAATTTATTTTTGCTTCCTTTGGGAAGTGAGAGAGCTTAGAAAAGGACCTGATGATATTTTCTTGGGACTTCCATGTATCCTCCTGTGATTTCTCTTGTGTATTTTCTGACTTCCATAATTTTACAGTCATTTCTGATTCTTTTTCTAGTTCTACACCTAGTGTCTAAGTGCAGTGATTGTGACTGTCCACTTCTGATTAATGGTTTCTAAAGCCAGGGATTGTGCTGTCAGAGAGATTGAATTTGATTTATGAAAACTTCAGCTGAAGAGGGACAACTTAATAATAATTGGCTTCCCTAGCTCCCCATCAATTGCTTTGTCACTTAAGATCAACCTCTGCAGGAAATCATATCAGCAAAACTGTCTGGCTCTCATGGTTTAGAGACTTTTATGCATTTAAATATTTCTTCCCATCTGACCTCTTCTTTGAGTTGTAAAGTGTTCTTATTATCCTAACATTTTGGACACTTTCACTTAAGCAGTCCACAAATGACTTGTATTCCACCTACATAAAGGATGAGCACTCTCTTTTTACAGTCCTGTCGTCCTACAGTGAGTTGAGTGGGGATGGGAGGACTCTCACTTGCTAATGACTGAAGAGGCTGCACATTCCTGTGCAACCTGTGTGAGAGCATGAGCTGAAAAGAAAAGGCAGCAGAGAAATAGACACTTTCTCCTGATAGTCTGAAAGGAATGGAAAATTAAGGAGAAGCAGGAACATGAATATTGCAGTGTAGGAATAATGTTAGGAGGAAAGGATCAACTAAAGGAAAGAATGCTTCCAAGGATGTAGAGCGAAATCAACATCAGTTAAAGTGTGAGGAGCTACTCCAGGAAGATCAGTTCAGAGACCAGAAAAGGCAAAGTGATAAAAATGAGTTTTTCAAGGACAAAATACAGTTAGTCCCTCTCCACATTTTTATCCTACAAGACCATGACCTCAGGGCAGACAAAGTCAAGGACAGGACTGCTGTCTGTTCAGTTGGTCTGTGGACCTAACCAAGCATGACTCCCTCATTGCTGTGCCAATATATTTTTTACTAATTTTCCGCATGAAATCCCAACCTGAGGCATGGTGTCCAGTCTGCTTCTCCTTCTGCAGGCACTGTTCCCACATATCCTGCTCTTGCATTCCGTCTGTCCTTTCCATGGACTCATTTTCCTCACAATTAAACATCTCGGTGTCCTGATTAAGATATTCTCTGTTACTTGAGTTACATCCTAGTCTTTCTTACATCCTGATCTTCATAGTTTTGCAACTCTGCTGTAATGCTCCTTTTGCTTTTGTAGAAACAGTAAAGTTAACTTATGTCGCCTTGGACTACTTTTTTTCACTACCAGTGTGTTATAATTTCCATTCTTACTGGGTAATGAGCAGAAACTACCATTCTATAACTATTAATAACTACCCATTTTTCTAAAAAGATAGAAAAGTTGTCCCTGCAACAACTTGGACAGAAGTTCTTTCCTTCACATGACAGCAGAGAAAAAATGTTTTACTTGCTTCCTGTTTTAATGATCACTCTTTCACGGAGTCACACCTGCAGTCCTCTCATTTCAGTCAAACATAAATATTATACCAGAAACATCCAACAGCCAGAATGATTCAAGTATGTTTATTTTCCTATGCCACTTGTAGTCAAGTGCCAGCACCTAAAACACTTGTTTTAGTTCTGTCCCAGAACATCTCCAGCAGAACATCTGTATCCGTGTAACTGAACAGTGATTTTGCTGCACGGAGCAGGTTGGGGCACTGGAAATTTTTGCTGTTATTGCTCAGCAGTAACAGTTCTGTGCTCACCCCTTTTTCCCTGCCTTCTAGCAATCAGTCTGCCTGACTTGATCAGAAATACAACCTGACAAAAACCAGTCCCTAGAGATGGTCACCCAGTGCCATTGGCACCTACCGGTAGCCTGTACTCAGCTAGTGTGCAGCCTAGCAGATGATTTGGGTCCCAGCTAAGAGGAGCTGTGAGCTAGAGGGACAGGTTGTGAGGGTGTTTGACCTGGAGTAATGGAGTAATAACTAATAGAATACAACACACTTTGCAGAGGTGGACCACTTTGAATTCTGCCTGCTGCAACATGCTTTCTCTTTACACTGCTTCTGCTCCAACTGCTCCTGCAGTAGCCCTGTCTGTGCTGCCTCTAGAGACACGGCTGCACACAGACACAAAAACCTCCAAGGGAGGTGTATATGTTTTATGGTATAAGGCACTCAGCATAATCTGCTGGTGTAAATATGCATTTTAACACTACTTCCTATCCATTCAAAATCAATCATCCTCACCGTGACTTACTCAGCAGCCTTATCACATCTCCTGTCACTTACAGTTTTCCCATTAAGGCATTCATTTTACATAAAAGATCTGCTTTGTTTAGAACATGAATTGTAATTTTTTCCTTGTCTCCTGTCGTTTTTTGGTAATTTGCTGAAATACATTTGCAGAAAAGCAGAAGAGAGAATACACTTTTGGAAGTATGTAGCTATATATATCTTTGATTTTTTGAACATGAATTCTAAATGCTTCATTGTGTAATTCCTTCAAATAATCTTCATTTAAAATAGCTTTAATAATAAATATGCTGAAAATCTCTTATGTGCTGAAAATCTGTCAGGATTTTTAGGTTTCCCATGCTATGTGTTCCCTGTAAGTCAGAATAACACGTGTTTCTTTTCCCAGACGGTGAACATTATCTTTGAAAAAGTCCCAGAAAATGAGAGTGGAGATGCCTGTCAGACTATCCAGGTTAATGTTCTGGACTGCGACACCATAGGCCAAGCCAAGGAGAAGAGCCTTCAGGCTTTCTTTAATAAGAATGGCTTTCTCTATGGCCTTCAGATGGATGAAATCGGTCTTGGTAAGAGAATGTCACTGTGTTACATTTTCATGGAGTTCACTGGTCTATCTGTGTTTTTCTGTTAGGGTTTCTTACCTTTGATTTTTTTCTGAGTTCAAACAGAATGTAGCCTTTGTGAGGAATTCTGAGGCAAATACTAGATCATTTATGCTCCCAGTTAGAACACTGAACCTCTTATCTGCTTCAATTCTGCAAGGACTTCAGCACTGCAGTTAACAAACACATGTTATTTGTTAAATATGTATAATTTCTATATTCCTTTTCTGGGTTAAGTAAAGTGGCTGGCCCATCCACCTAAATACAGCTGGTTGTTAAATTTCATCAGCAGATGACAAATCATGGTTATCAAGTACTTTGGTTCCTACCTATTCCTCCTACCTTCCTTCCTTCATTCCTTCCTTTCTACAGGCCTACGTTGCCCTTGATGAGAAGAACCTTCAAATATAGCTTATTTATAGTCACATTAAGTTTATATAATAGTTCTCATGAGACTCACAAAGTTACCTACAGTATCTACGGATGTTAATAAGGCTGTTCCAGCAAGCCTTTCCTTGTTGGATTTTTAGGAGCCCAAGGTCAGATAAAACTCTGTAGTTGCCACCATACCACTTCCCACCTGCCCCAGTCAGAAATCTAACAAACTCTGCATTGTTGGCATTTGTCACCTCCCGGACTTGCTCCTTAAAATGTTGATGTTTCCTCACCTTCTCAGATTCTGGGTTGGCAAGTGTTCATAAATTGCTTTCATATCTGATGTCTGGATCCATCACCAGTGCCTGACCACCCTTCACGAGCACTACGTCAATCTACAGGTCATTTTAGTGATCTCTTAGAAGTGGCTTGTGGATCCTTTCTTCTAGTCCCAGTTGTGTCCATAACACCAGGGCATGCTTGTGCAGTGGAATAGCTAGATTAGGTGAAAGAACCTCCAGAAACTCTGCCTTGGCCAACACAAAGTGAAACACCAAAAGTCCACAGTAATGGAAGCCACCGAGACTGTCACTCAGAAAAGGAATCAGTAGTGTGGGAGTGCAAAACCACCTCCATGTGACCTGGCACAAGGACAGAGAGAAACAGCTCAGCTGGGAGTCACTGGTCAAAAAATAATTAGGTGTTGTTTTTCTTTACAAACAGTAAGAATGCCATTTACAAACAGTGAGAATGCCATTGGGATGTAATTGTTTTCTGTTGCTGTCATACTGCAGAACTTGTGTCTGAGGAGCAGCAGAGAGAACTGTTAGATATTGATGGTTCCTCAGAGGTGATGGAGGATGGGATAAGGAAGTTAAATACCATCGGTCATTACGAGGTAAGCGCAGAGGCCATACCAATGAGTTGAGAAGCAGTTTCTCCACAACTTAAATTTGATTTGCACAGAAGAATCTCGATTGATCAAAATCTTGAAGAGATAGCTGAGCATCGTCAACGGAAAAAAAGAATTGTGTGACACAAAACGTTTTTGTCAGTGAGTCATGTTTTCTGTTACTTTTTAGAGGTTTGCAGGGCTGCTTGGTTCAAGCATACTAGGTAAACTGTTAATTCTGTTGAGCATTTCACTTAAGACAGCATCTAATTTCTGGCTATGAGCCTTGCCTTGAGTCTCTTCGAGTCTCTGCTGTTGAGTTTTTCTTGCTCCATGAGCAATTGTTTACCTCATCCCACCTCATATTTTGATTATCTGAACAGGCAGTAGTAATACTTGTGAAATCTCATCAAGAGTCAGAATAAAAAGCACTGATGAGTTCGCTCTCTCTTCTCTGGAGAGTTCCTGTGTCAGGTAATTTTCTTTTTCCTCTCGGTGTCTGCTTCCATCTGCTGTTGCCACTTGTAGCGTAAGTTTTCTCTCTGCTTCCAACTGCACCTGTAAACCAGTGCTGCAGTAATCTGTCCATCACGGCAACAACGCACAAGGCCGCAACTGGTGGCAGAGCCCTTCTGCGCGTAGCACATTGCAAAAGCATAGTAAGCAGTTACCTCTCTAAGGAGTTTCCAGTGACACCAGTCAGAATGGAGAGTGGGAGGCTGTGTAAAATGTGCAACAGGTGATTGGCCTGAGGTGGTGTGGAAGTTCACATGTGATGCTTACAGACAGGTTTGGGAAATGGAGGTTATCATACTGAGTGCTTAGAGAGAGATCTTTCTTCATGCCTCATTGTTGAATTTGAAAGTCTGGCTCTTAACATGATCATAAATTTTTATTTATTTAGAAGTTTTGCTGTTGTGGGTTTGTGCCTTGCAATGCAGCATGGTGCTGAGGAACCCGAGCCAGCATGGAACATGGTGCTGTCTGCATGAGCAAATAGAGTACCATCCATAATGAAACAAGGACTCCTAGCAGGACTTTGTAGCCTAGGCAGAGCACAAGACTGCTTAGCTACAAAGCCAGCTCGTTCAGAGTCCTTTACAGATTTCTGTAGGTGTTTGTAGCTCTCCTTACCTCACAGGAGTCAGCAGTGAACCCAGATGTCCCGACTCACCACCCAGTGGCCTAAATACAGCTTTTCCTATGCCTGTCTTGAACTTTGTCTGTAGACTAAACTCCTCCACTGCACTTGTAGAGATTTTCTACAAATTAGGACACCTTAGTGTTGCAGTTTGAGTCTATGCAGCAAAGGTCAACACGGATTTGAATCTGATTAGATGTTTGAACTTCTGTCTAACGTGATGGTACCTGCCCTCTTTACCACAGGCAGCTACTGCAAGTGCTCCCTGATTTTACCCAGCAGCCCTTTGCGCTTCCTGAGCTCATGGCGTGCTGTGGTTCATGAGTGTTCATTGGTCACTGTTATCCCTGGGTATCTTTGTCCCAGCCCTTGTTTTCATCTGAGGTTTCTGCAGGCAGGTGCAAGTTGGGAGACTCAGTTGTTTTTACTGAGCTGTAACCACACTAATTATAGCTTAGCAGCTGCCTTATAAAGATTATGCTGGATATCTCTGTAAGCTATTTTAGTTCACTTTTTCTGACAAAATAGAGTACATTTTAGGCAGAAACTCAGTGGCGTTTCAGGCAGTGTGTTAGTGGCAAGTATTAACCATTAACATACCTAGTGTATTTTTTTTCATGCATATTAATGCAAAAGGGAATGTAAAGGTGTCTAGTCAGCAAGAAAAAGGAACATTGCATACACTGTGTGAGGGCAGTAAAATCACCTGAGAAAATTCCACCTTTTACATTTCAACAGTACCTAGAGTTCTGTGACAAGCCTGAATTGCTCTTCTTGTTTGCCAGCCTTAAATGCTAGAAAGTAACTGGATGTTCAAGACTGGGAAGTACCATCAAATCTTTTTTAAGATACCGGAGCATGAGAGTTGTGTTGTGAAGATCCCAGAGTCAGCAGTCATTCTTGAAAAAGCAGACTTAGTTTCTACACTGATTTTTTTAGAACATGAAAGAAGGGGATGTTTGCATTTTTTTATGGTGTCTGTGAAGAGAAAAAAATTCCTTTGTACTGTTAGACTTCCATGTGTCTCTGATCTGTATGCTCTTTTGCTCTAAATTTTGCTCCTAGTAGGGTTACTGATGTGATTATTTATGAGGTCTGCACTATTGTTTCCATGACAAGAAAGTTGCTGATTGTCTTGACATCCTATTCCCCATGCAAGAAGAGAGCTAGATAACCACTTTCTGATCTGCTGTCCAGTCACAGATCTCCAATTCCTCAGCCTGGGACAGCGTCACATGTTCCAGGAGCAGTCAGAACCCCAGGGAGCAAATCTGTGTGATCTAGGGAGCTAACTGGCAAGAACTGGATGATAGTGAGGTCAGGAGGCCTGGAGAACAAGGAAGAGGCGTAGAGCCACACCACTACATCTTCTGTTTTCCAAAGTAGCTGTATTCCATGTTGTGTGGAACTGAAGAGATCTGCTCTCTACTGGTTTGTTCTGCTCGGTAATGCACCTGGAACAGCAAAGATGTTACAAGGTGTCAATGGGAGCAGCCCACTACAAGAAGTAATTTAGACAGCAGGACACAAAAAGAAGGGCTTTTTAAATTTTTTTCTATTTAATTGAATCACACAGAAAGAACCAGCAAGTATGGCTGCTGCAGTAATGATAAAGAAGAGAAAGCATAGTCCAGTCAATATTGAAAGTATAATTTGTCCCAGAAATAAAACCTAAAGTGGGGGCTTTGGTCATGGCTGCACTGCAGCAACGCTTCTGGTTCCTGGAGGAATGCATGGTTCTCCCTGGGAGCTCTGCCTGTCTCCCTCAGGACAGGAGCCAACAGCATTGAGCTGCTCTCCTACTTCTTGGAGAGGGAATGAAGGCAGCATATTGCCCACGCAGCTCTGAGAGGGGGTAAAGCTGCTGTGCAGCCCTGTTCCTGTTTACCTATCTTCAAGGCCAAGTAGGAGGACTCTCTGGGTGTTTGTTTCACCTCACAGGCTAGCCTTGGAGCATATTCCCACTTGTAGTGTGGTTTTCAAGTGCACTGTGTTATCTGAAAGAGGTCTGAAACTCGGTATGATAAATGGAATCCCCACAAAAAATCATACTTATAAAATGGGTTGCAGGAGCAAATGTAAGTGCAGATTTTTTTGGCGTAAGACACAGCTTTTGATAGAGTATCTTAATGTTTAAACTGGTTTCTTACACCAGGCTGGCTGCCAAGGTTTAAAAAACACTTAAATTGTTTTGGCAGAGATCCCTTCCTAGAACTGGACAGTTGTTTTTGTAATTATAGAGGCAAGTGCACTAGTTCTTGGCAAGACTAAACATTTGACAGCAGAGCAGTAGTGTAGCTCTCAGTGGGAGCCGTTTTTTAGTTACTCTTTGACAATAAAAGCATGGTTTGCCAGTTTGTTTTAAAGATAATACTTAACATTCTGGCAGCACTATAAATTCAGGGAAGGAGGAGGGAGATTTTTCCTAGAAATCCCATGGTGGTAAGATACAGATCTTGATCTTACGGTATATAAATATTTTGCTCAGTTTGAAAATAGTTCTTGGGAGCACCAGGCTAGACCCTCAACATGGCCCCTTCACAGGACATGGGGAGAACAGACTGAGCTGAAGGAAGGGGGACCAAAAGAGAATTCATCTTTGTGTGCACCTCCCTTCCTCATTTTCCCATAAAATCCTATTTCATTGGAGCCAGAGAAATTAACCTCAGCAATCTATAGAAAGATGGGTGCAAGAAACAGCACAAAGCAGTACATGAAAGTAAAAATGTCCAAATATGAGCTGAACCAGAAAAATCAAAGAGAAAGGTCTTCAAGGCTGGTTCATTGGAAGAGGTACCTTCTCTCTTCTTAGGTAAGACTTCCTTGTTAGGTAAGGCAAATAAACTGCAGCTACTGCCCATGCCAGAAAGCCCAGCCCTGGGTGCTGCTGAAAGCCGTGCACACCATGGTGAGAACAAAGAGAGCTGGCGTGTTCCTGCACTGCCACGGACTGAAGGAAATGAAGGAGGAAATGAAACTGATGGCTTCGTGAATTCTAGATTTTTGTTTCAAAATTATGTATTTGTTTTTGCTTTCAGATTTCAAATGGAGCAACCATAAAAGTGTTTAAAAAGAAGGCAAATATCCGATCAGGTAACAGAGGAACTGCAATCTTTTTGAACTTTTGTGGAGAGTGACTGGGAATGCAGAGAGCTGAGCTGTGAGAGGTTATCTCTTGGTCAATAGGAGGACAGAAAAAGGTACTTGGATTTAGTTGAGCCAAATGAAGAGCCACGTTACCCTGGCTCTGGGCCTCTGGCAGGCACAGTCGGCCTAGAACGTGTGAAGGAGGACAGAAGGACTTACACTTCTCAGCAAATGATTACTTAGAGATACAGGCTTACAGACAGGAAGTCGGGGTGACTCCAAGTGCTGACTGTTGAAACCAACACGAGGAATTGTATATCACAAACATAATGGTGCCCTCTCCAGAGACAGGCATAACAAAAAAATGGTAATTTTCCATATTTTCTTGACTATGTTTCTGAAAACATTGGCTTGACTGTCTCAACAGGTCAGGAGTTACAGGGTGCTTACAGGGGATCAGTTCATCTTACCTACCACTGTGATGTAGGTTGCTCCCACCCAGCTGGTGGTTCAGGGGAGAGCTTTCTGTAGCCCCTGGGAAAAACGTGCTCCTGATGTGTGGTTCACTTCACCATCAAAGAGATGTGTTCATCTCACTGGGATGTCGTTGCCCTCTCCCTCAGCAAGAGTTGCTGTTCTCAGCCTTTGTGTTCAAGCCTGACCTCAGCCCACCTGCGCTGAGCACTCTTAGAGACTGAACCAATGCAATCACCTCATCTGCTGTCTCTTGTCCTCCTTTCAGAGGAGCTGTGATTGCTGCCAGCTTACCCCAGCAGCAGATATGATGCCCTGGCTTAGTGGTCAGAGCTACAGGTTGGCACTGGGGAGGTGCCCAGAGCCTGTGCATTTCTCAGAGGCTTTCCCCACACTGCAGGCAGGAAAGGATGACACTGAGTCTGCTTGCTTGGCATCCTGGCATGCACCCTGCTGCACAGCCCAGAGCCCAGCAGAGCTCACAAACCCATAGCTGTGTGTTTTATTAATGCCTGTTTGCTCTCTGCTTTCTGTTGTTTAGATGTGGACTACTCGGATGAGCACTGTCATTTGGTGAGTTGAGTCATTACACTGCTAAGTGGTAGATTTAATACTGAGCTGTATTTGTATCTGTGTAATCTCTCTGATCTCTTCATGATAGATTTTACCAGACTCGGAAGCAAACAAAGATGTGAAGGGAGCAGGTCACAAAGGAAAGCAAAAATTCAAAGTGAAAGAAATGTATCTCACAAAGCTTCTGTCCACCAAGGTAAACTGTAAAGGCTTTATTTTGGGGGAGGGCTGATGTTGGGCTTGGCTAGTTTGACACAGCAGAAATACAAATTAAGGCAGAAATTGTGCAGACTTCCTGCATGTACATCAAATTTTAAATTAAAAGATAGCATATAAAAATCGCTGTGCTAACTGTGGATTATCACTATTTGCAAAGAGTTCCGAAATTGTCTATTACTCACACTCTCTGTCTCCTCACTAAGCTCAACCTCTTTTCTCAGGTTAAAAAAAAAAGGTAATTATTGAGCTTATGGAAAGTGAGTTTTACCACTGAGTCTCATAAAGCAAGAATGATTCCCACTGGAGAGACAGATTTCAGTCAACAATCCCCCTGATCTCCTCTGGAGTTTGCCCAGCTTAGAGACAACTTCCAAAGCCTGAGTTTCATAAAATAAAGCCTATGAAATTAAATATTCTGTTAGGGTTTCAAATTAAGCATCCAAAATAACTAGATTAACTTTAAAAACAAGGTCCTTAGGATTTATAATACAATTACCTAATTTATACAATGTGCGTTCCTTAAGAATAAGCTCTGCTCGCTCCCTCTGGTAATGTTATCTTCTTTCTGACTTACTCAAAATGGTTATAAAACTCTTTGCAACAGCATATTACTTAAAATATTAATCAGAGCACAACACTGAGAGCTGTGCAATACGAGTGGCCTGAAGGGATGATGATTATAACCTTCTTGCATTTAAAAATCTATCAATCATTATTTAATTAGGTTGTTGATAGCATCTGAAGTAATTTGGGACACTACCCCAAAGTGAGAGTGAAGACTGGTCATTTCTCATTAGCTGTGAAAACTAACATGAGCCCTCAGGAACTGCTGCAGTAAACCAGTAATCTCTTATGTGGAAGACTGAAGTACCGAAGAAAAGATCAGTCTCTTAAGAAACAGTCCTTTTAAAGGGCTTTAAATTAGTCAGCTCCTTCTCTAAAATGAAACACTGCTCTGAACAACAGTGCTCTGATGCCCTTCTCTGTGAAATTCCACCCATGATACGCTGTGTGCCAAAGGAAATTGCATTGCACCATGTCCCTCTCCCTCTCTCTCCCACCCATCCATGCACACAGACACAACTGCAGAGCTTACCACTTGAATTTAACTGGCTGGTAGTGCATCAAGACCCTGAGATGTGCTTAAATCCTTCTTGCTGGGAAAATATTGGGCTAAACTGAGCTTCAGAACAGATGTGAAGAAAAATGACACAGAGCAGTGTTTTTCTTTGTTTGCCTCTACTTATGAATACTTTATGATTATGTCAGCAAGTCCATCAGCAACCAAGCCCTTGCTTTTGTGAGCCAAATAACTTCACTTCTGTATCAGAAATACCCAATTTTCAGTTCTTCTCTCTAGCGTTAGTGTCTTTGGATACCACCAGTATAGCTGTTACGCTAGAATTAGACCAAGTGCCAGACCCACTTGGCTGTGAAGTGTTGATGAGCACATGTGTTCAGTATGTGTCGCAGATGGCACCATGAAGACCAGTGTCCTAGGAAACTGGTTAAACTGCTTTTCCTCACCTCCATCTTACTTTGAGCCACAAGTTCCAAATGCCTTTAGCAACAGTGCCAACAGTATCCCAAGAGTTGATGTAGCCTTTGTTGGAGCAAGTGACACCTTCCACCTACAATATATCACGAAGTTCACCACAGTTCCCCTGTCGGCAGAGCGATAGGATGTGTGGCATTTGAAACCAGCTCATTGCGGTGTATTGTACTTTCATTTTTTTTACTAACTATTTTATTTTCCAATAACCTATGGCCTTGATGTTTGCCACAAGCGTATTGTAGTTTCTGTGTGTTGTTGTCTAGGGTCATGCTCAGCCCTCTGAGATTAAAGATCCTATTCTTTTCTTGTGTAATAACAAAATGTTTGTTGTGTTGTTTTTTCAGGTTGCAATTCATTCAGTTGTTGAAAAGCTCTTCAGGAGCATTTGGAGTTTACCCAACAATAAAGCACCTGTTGCCATCAAGTACTTTTTTGACTTTCTGGATGCCCAGGCTGAGAGCAAAAAAATTACTGACCCTGATGTGGTCCACATATGGAAAACCAACAGGTGGGACATGCACAGGGGCACATGAGCTTTCTGAAAATGTAGTTGCAAAGATGGAATGGGTCATCTGTAATCAGAAGAATATGATTTTGGCATGTCTGGGAATAAGATGTGGTTTGGCTCTGTGGATCACAGTAATTTTAGTGTATTGATTTGATACCAACAAAAACCACCATGGCTTCCAGGACTTGTAAGTCTGCATACTGACTTCACACTCAGAGAGCAGCAGCAGCAGGCTGAGAGCATTATTTGAAGTTGGGTGCCTGACTGATGTGTTTGCTCCGTAGCCTTTGTTCCCTGAATTTGTTCCCTTTTTTACCATGAATAAGCAGCCCTGAAATGGGCTGCTTTCCATGAGTGCAGTGTAATTAAGCGTCATTTTAAAGCAGTTGTGGTGCGTGAGTGTTTAATTTTAAAGATGCTTGTTCTTTCTCTGTCTAGTCTTCCTCTTCGCTTCTGGGTGAACATACTGAAGAATCCCCAATTTGTCTTTGATATTAAGAAGACTTCACATATAGATGGCTGTTTGTCTGTAATTGCACAAGCTTTCATGGATGCCTTTTCTCTAGCAGAACAGACCCTGGGGAAGGTAATGCTGCCCTTCCAGTCTTCTGCTAATTTCTCAGCTGCTGTCTTTTTCAACTGTATAACGATTCAAGTGATTAAGTTCTGGATGTGCTGACATTTGGGGCAAAACTGTCAGTGGCCTAATTAAGCTGGGTTTCTGTTCCTCGCTGGTCTGTCTCCCGAGACTTTGAAGAATTCACAAGGAGACAGACAGAGCTATGAGAACGCCTTTTTTATAGTTAACTGCTGCTTGTCTTCTCTGCAGTTCATTTCTGCACAGTGTGTTTACACAATTTGTGGAAGAAGGTGGAAATTGTAAGATTTTAATGAAGTTTCAAAGTCGTTCTAAGCAAAGGCCTTAAGAGTACTAGTATTATTTGATAAGCAGTCCAGATTTCATCTGCCACACACCAATGTGCAGAAAACACACACAATAAGCTGCTGGAAGCTGTAAGAGCTCTGAAGTTTGAAACAGTTCCTTCCACATGTATTAGCTGCTCCCTTTTTATATGGAAAATTATTTGTTGGAGTGCCAAGTTCAGACATCTTGCATTCAGAAACTCTTTAGTACAGTGTCCGGAACTCTGAAGATCAGAAATACTTCATTTTTCCCCAGGCTATTTTCCTTTTCTTTGGACCAAAGCAGGAAGCATTTGTTCAGGCTCATACTACCAAGAAAAACAGGTTAGGGACTTTTTAGCCTAAAAAAATTTATGTAAAAATGGACTAATTTCCTATGTGATCTGGTCCAACTGCTCATCTGTTAAAGGTAAATAGCAAATAATGTGTTTATTTGTCATATTTTAGGAGTGAAGTATCATAAATTAAAGCTAACAAAGATATCAATTCTTTCATGGAAAAACTGCAAATGAGCATGATTGTTGGATTTCTGTGCTTAATACACATTGTGAAGTATTGCTGATACTGCAGGAAATGTCTTATGGTCTTTCAGTACTAAAATGTGTTTACTTTCATGGGTTTTAGCATTTCATCTTTAAAATATGTTTTAGCCATTTAGAAAACAAACATTTAAATCATTTCATCATACAGTGGAAACAGTAGTGACAGGATATCACATGGTTGCGTCATTTTTTCCCCCGAATTTAAACCAGAGCAGTGACAGGAGACTACCAGCCCCCACTTTTACATTCTGAAAATAAGGTTTCCAAGTGGGCTTTGGGCTCCTACACAAACATCAACACTTATTTCCTCAAATGAGCCTAAAGCTCCCAGATAGGTCAGTGTTGACCCAGATTGTTGTATGCCTAGGGTGAAAAGAAATCCTTTTGGCTGTGCATGTCCGGCAGTCAGCCCTCCATGCTCTCGAACCCCAGAGGGAGAGGAGTAGTAGGGACCAAAGAGTTTTAGGAGGACCTCTGCCAGGACAGGATCTAGGAAGACTCTCTGGTGTGTTACTGTAGGGGAACTTTCAGCAGTACTGCTGAATCCTGCATGTAAATAGGGTATCGGCCTCGGGCCCTTTTGTTTAGCTTTCACGCTCTTTCAGGTCTAGGGAGCCTTAAGGAGGAAGTGAGAAATAAAAATATATCTGTTGAACAAATGGTCATCCCTTCTGATGCCAATAGAAATGATTATATGGCAACTGTCATGAAATACAATACACTACTGAGGTCCTGCCTCTGTTTTTCTTCTTTGTTTCATAACCTTGGTTCGATGCATATAACCACCGCAAAGGAAAAATGAGTCACACGGATACAATTAGATGCAATTAACTGTGTGGAGGTGGACCCTTAGGAAATCTGTGCTGTGAAAAGTGACAAGGCTTCAAATTTTTTCTTTTAAGGAAGCACCAACAAATAAACTTCTCTATGCTAAGGACATTCCACTCTACAAGAAGGAGGTGAAAGCGTACTACAAAGCCATCAGGGATCTGCCTCCACTGACCACTGCAGAGGTTGAAGAATTTCTAGCTCAGGAATCTAAGGTACGGTTGAGAAGCAGCAACTTCGTTTGCTGTCATGTTAAGATTTTTTAAAAAAGAGAACTATCTGACAGGAACTATTTTCTGTTTTAGAAACATGAAAATGAATTTAATGAGAAAGTGGCCTTGTTTGAAATCTACAGATACATAGTGAAATATTATGATGAGGTAAGCACATCTGCTATTCCTGCTTAACCCCTTAATGTTAATTTACTACCTTAGGCTTGAACGTGGTGCTTGACAAAGTAACCAAAGACTGGCCTGATGTGCAACCTCCTGAGTGCCCCTCCAGAGGCAGCCCCTCCAAAGTGCAGCCAAGGCTGCTCCTTCCACTGAGCCGTGTAGGGCCAGAGCAGTGCAGCCCCCACCCCTCCGAGGGGTCACAGGCCAAAGGGTTGTAAGTGCACCTCCGCTGTCACTGCTGTATTTCACAGAGACACTAGCAATAAAATCCTCCCTGCAGCTTTGAGGAAGTTCCTATATAGTCTAGGCTTCGTGTTCTACTGTGTTTGCAGAGTCTCTGCAAATGCTTGTCACAACTCCTGTGCACACGCTCCATTTCCCTAGAGACTCAGAAATCAGACTAGACTGTAGCACCAGGGCTCTCAGTTTAACAGTCAGTACAAACACCTCTGCAGAGCACGCTCAGCCTTACAGCAAGATGAGTCTGCTCCTTTCCCATCATAGCCCCCTTAACACTCTGCTCTAATAGCCTTTCTCTTAAAGAGAAGCAGCTATAGCTTCCAGCCCCTGATATTGCTAACAAAAGAAATCTTTTCTCAGCTGAAAGCACCTAGTCGCAGGCTACCTCTAAGCTGCTTTCTAAGAAAATCCCTGCCCTCCACTTTGCATGATAGGATTCTCCACTCCATTTTGCTCTGCATCCTTAACAGAAGCTGCAAGGAGGATGCTTCTGCCTGTGCAGGGACTCAGATAAGAGCCAGCTGGGGTGTGTTGCCTGAAGGCCTCCTTGCCACTTCCAGCGGGTTGTCTGGGTCTCCCAGCAACCAGGCCTTTCTCTCTTTCATCCCCAGCAGCACAGCATCAGTACTTGCTGTAATCATCCAGCTCTCAGTCACCTGTTAGCTGCCTTGCCACTTCTGATCTCTAAAATCTCAAATTATCTGGGCTCAGCATCAAATCTTTGCCTCTTAAAAGAAGCTTGGGATGATACTCAGATAATCACACATTATTAAGCTTTTTAAAATTGCTGACATAGGAAAATTCAGTTGTACTTTCTAGTCCTAGTGCCCATTTTTTGGTTTTTTGAAGGTCGCACTGGCTAAACTTAGCCCATCCTTAGATGGAAATCCTCCTTCTGCTCTTCTCCCTCTGGCTTTTGACTGGGAGCAACTAAACCTCCTTCACTGTTTGCTGAGACCTGTCCCCCTGTAGAGTTGCCAGCAAAGAGTTTTCGTATAGCAGTGATGCTCCTTCCGATCACCTGGGCCTGGGGCCAAGTAGGAGAATCAGAGGAAGAGAGGCAGTTTATTGCCCTCAGTTTATATGGCAGAGGAAGAGAAATAAAATATCATTTGTGAATCGTTTCTAGGGTAAAACTGGAGCAGTGGCCTTGCCTCATGCTTTGAGAGATGAGCATGTGCGAGATTTGTTTTGTTTTCTCTGCTTGGCTCAGTCATTCTTTTGTGGAAGTGTCGCACATCCTGTGATCAAAATGACTTGAAAGGAAAACTACCAAAATAAAGTGTTAAAGTCAGAAAAGAATGTTTACAGATAGGCAGGCATTCAGACGGATTTTTCTGTCAGCAGTTGTTAGAATTCAGAAAAGCAGGCTTTAAAAAATAGCAAGTAAAATAAGCACTAAAAAATTATTCTCTCTTTTGCTAATTGTTAACAGATTGTCAGCAAACTTGAGCGAGAACGGGGGTTTGAAGAAGTCCAGAAGCAGCTCCAGCAAGTAAAAGCCTTATTTGATGAAAAGAAAAAATGCAAATGGCTTTGAGCAGAGCACTGACTCACAGCATCACTGTGGGGAATTTTAAATTAGTGCTACTGCTCCTGAAACTGTTTTGACTGATTATATGTACAGGGTTTGAAACATTTGGACACTCTTCTCCACTCTGACCATTCAAGTAATATCTACATTTGGAAATTAAATACGAGCAGGGTTACGTATTCAGACACGGGCATGTGAAAGTGAATCTGGTGTTGGCAGGGCCAACATTTTTAGGTACTTGAACACACATAACCCTTTGGTTCAAAATACTGTCTAAGTGAGCTTTCTGCTTACTTAAAAACAAGGTCGTAGGAGATGTGCAAAATACACTGTAAGTTCAGAGTTGCCTGTGTGAACTTGCAAGTTGCTTAGCTCGTTTTTTAAGAGGGAAAGCTGATGTTTCGCTACATCCTTTCAGCAGCTTGGCAAACTGTGAGGGTGAGCTCCGGCTTCAGAATACGGGTCAGCTGCAGTTTCCTTCCTTCCAGTCAAATGTTCACTGGTTCCTGTTCAGGGAAAAAAAAAACAAAAGAAAAAAAAAAAAGAAAAGAAAAAAACCCCACACAACCCCACATCAATCACATCAATAAAACCCAACAAAAACCTGGCACCAAAGTGACACTTCAGATAAGTGTGTTTAGCAGAAAAAGCGGGTCTGAGGTTTGAAGGCCAAATGCTACATGGCAGGACTTATCTTCCTTAGGTTAGAAATTCCATGTGCAAAGTGAAGCCAGTCGCTGAGGGGAAGAGGCAGGGGGGAGGCTTTCAGAGAAAGGTGCTGGGCCGACATCTGTCTGTGTTTACATTTCTGCCTTTCCATCCTTAAATAAGCTGTGAAACACTTGTGAACAGCTTCACAGGTGAAACTGCACTGCATCAGAACACTGTTGTGATTTGATGAAGCAGCTGATGGCTGCACTTCGGTGCATAAATCCATACTCAGGTGCGTGATCGGCCCACGCATCAGTGCTGACAGTCCTTCCTTGTACACACAGGCTTCCCTCTGAGTACAAGGGCCTCACAAACCTGATGCCAGCGTGTGGGGAGGGGTTCAGGTGAAAGAAGGTTGGTTTAATATTATGTAAGAACAGGAGGACTGGTGTAATCTCTGACTGTGTATGAGAAACTGATACAAATGTGCTCGCTGGGGTTGGGGTGGGGAGGGGTAACTGTCTGCCTTAGTCTGGCTGGGGGTTTTGAGGCTTGGCCATTTTGAAAGGAAGAAGTCCATTACATTTGCACTGGTGGCTAAAGTCAGCCCAGCTGGAAAGCAGGTGCATGGCTGTGCTGCTGGGATGAGGCTGGTGCAGTGGCTGCTGAAAAAAGCCACGGAGGAGCAGCCATGGCTCCAGCTCTGCTACTGCACCAGCACAGTCCTACCCTCCGCTACAGAGCTGAAATGATTTGTCACCATGGACTCTGCTTCAGTCACAGGAGACTCATACTTAGGCTGTCACATGCCCTCAGGTTTGAGGTAAGGCATTGATGACACAGAGATAATGTTTCCATACATTTCTGGAGGGATCCACCGCTGGAGGTGAGTGGCCCACAGGAGAGGGAAATGCTGTCACCTGCCTTGGCAGGATGGGCCAGGTTTGGTACAGGAAGGCAGTGCTGGGACTGTGAGCAGCCAGAGATGGCTGTGCAGGGCTCCCAGGTGGTGGAGCTCCAAGGTTACCTGCCATGTGCTGCTGCACTGGGGGAGCCCTGCAGCTGCAGGCCAGCAGGGCTAAAGCTGGCTGGTTTGGGCACAGAGGCTACCAGCACCTGGTACCAGGCACAATCCCACGGCACACGGCCGGCCAGCATTGGCAGAAGCAAGGCCGGCTGTTAACGTGGAAAAACACAAACACCAAACATGTTGCCTGCTGGTCTGCCCCCTCCCTGCTGTGTGATTGCACAAGTTGTACCTCTTGCATACCAGAGAGGGCAGCCACCAACCAACCCATACTGTGATGGCTTTGTTGTGTTTTTTTTTTTTTTTTAATTCAAGTCTTACTCCTGCTATTAAGTTTACACTTTGTACTTGATGGAATGTATGGCTTTGTTCAGGAAACTGCACTACAATGTTGCAGTACTTTCAGCAGTTCTCTGCCTGGCACAATGTATTTTGATAGTTCGATTTTAACTGGAAAAAACCCACAACCCAACCCTAACCTATCCTGCCCTCTGTGCAAAAGGAGTGCATCATGGCTTGACTAGCACTTAAGCTTGGAATACCTGTATGTAAGGGCTTGATTTTTATTATTCTTAATCTAACACTTTAAAGCAGCATCAAATAAATAACAAAGCACAGTAATTAATATTGAAGGAGAGGCATGAGCGGATTACTCTTTCCAGTTAGACAGTTCCGCTCCACTTCAGGTGTTTGCTGGCAGTGCATTCAAATGAACTGTGATAGTTTTGTTCAACAGTAACCTTCTGTACAGGCAGAAAAAACAAATCCAACGTTTCTGCTTGAAAAGCTGTAAAATATAATCTGTTTGCGTGGGTCTGATCCTGTGAGCTTCACTATATGTGTTTATATTGATGAGGAAATGAAAATCAGTCCTATTCTGTATTTGTACTACTGCTTGTTTGCTACAATAGCTTTAATGATTTCTAGAGATTAAGTATGTGTTGAAGCAGGCCCTGTAGCTTTATCTACAGCCTGGAATAGGATTATTGCCTTTTATTCAAGCCTCCTAAACAGTGTCACTCTGTTAGTAAACCATTTTTAAGTCATGCTGGGACTTTGTAACCCATCAAGTGGATCTCACGAAGTGATGTGAAGTATAATTAAGTGATTGTGGCTCTTTTGGTAGGTTTGGGTCAGCACACAAAACATTGGCACACCTTCCATATCTGCGATTTGCCGTTACTGTTACCCGGACAAAAAGAACCACTTCTGACTAAAGCTGTATTATGGCAACCCAACAGTTCTAATCACATCCTCAGAAATGAAAGCAAACTTCTCTTCAACTTACTGTCACATGTTTACAGGCAAACTGCTATGGCAAACAGCGTATTTTCTAACACTAGCTTACAGAGCATTATTTTGCAGTCATCTAGTTTGAAGGCAAATCTTACTAATGTGTAAAGTAATTCCTGTTGTACAGAAGTTAACCTGTTGTTTAAAATTAATGGTTGAAAAAAAGTGCAAATGACAAATACATGTTGGTGTTTGTATGGGTTTATCTAGAATAAAAGCATTTGGAGGTTAGTTTGACTGTGTACTTTAAAATAGTTTAAAAAACCCAAGAACAGCTGGTAACAATCCAATCCAAGGTCATGCAAAGAACAGTGGCATCAGATGAGAAATACCTGCTGCAGCTCCAGCCCTGCGAGGCTGCAGGGCAGAACCAGGCAGGTCAGCACAGCACAATTCCATCATGCTGAAGTTGGGAAGTACAAGAAAAGGAAGGTACAGTACAGCATCGGTGATGCTGGGGAAGGGAGGGGCTGGCCTAAAACCCAGTGACTGCTGAGCAGTGACCTGCAGGGCCTGGGTGGAGGGGGATTCCCAGCTGCCTTTCCAGCTGTAAGAAGCAATAGCAGGCCAGGGACAGGCTGAATGCACAGTGCCTGCAAAACCTCCACAGAGCCCTCATGAGCTGCACTACAGCTACACCACTTAAAGGCTCTGATAACTTTAAAAAGCTAAAAATGTTTAAAAGGAGGATAACCCAGTAACCCTTCTATCAGAAGGTACTGTAGGGACAGGAAACTGGCTCTCACTCAAAAAGCCTAAGACCAGCTGGCAAAGGGAGCCCACAAACCTGGTGGTGACCATCATTCTTCCTGCTTTTATTACCCTTCTTCCACGCTCCACATCTTCCCTAGGTTTGGGGAACCTGCCCACCAACATTAGAGTGCACCCTGCTGAAGCCCACGCAGCCAGAGGCAGGGACAGAGACACAAGGCTGCCGAGAGCTTGCTCTTTGCAACTCTTACATGCTGGTAGATGCTGGTGACCGTCCCATTTGAAAAAGGTGGCTCAGGCACAGACAGGTACTTTGTCCAAATTAATCCTGCAGGAGACAACAGTAGCTTCTGTTACTTCTAATAGTTACACTGTTTTCCACAGAGAAGTTTAACAAAGTTCCCAGGAAAGGAAATGGTATTCCCCAATTTAGTGTTCCCACTGAAACAGTCCAAATCTTGCACTGCTCACTCACACCCCTGCCCCACCTCCTCCTCCACCACAGGAGGATGGAGAGGAGAATTAGAGACACAAAAGGTAAAGATCACGAGTACGTTAAGCACAATTTACTGGAAACAGCAAGGAGATAAGAAAATAAACAGTAACAGCAACAACTTTAAAAAGGAGGCGAACAATTCCCACGCGATTGCTCACTACGTGGAGCCTGGCAAATGCCCGACTGCGGCACCCTAAGCGACCAGGAAGGGATCCCTTCCCTGTCCCCAGAAGAGGACTTGAGGTGGTATAGAATAACCTCCATGTCCTAACCATGGCCCCTTCTGGCTACTGCAAAAATTAACCCTGTCCTGACCAGAACTAGGACAAATCCTTATACTTCAGCACTGTATGGAAAATCAAAAATGCAGCCTCTGAAGAGAAGTTGAGTCAATGCCAACGTCACCATATGCAACGTAGTTATTCAGCTGTCTGTTCCTACAGTCTAACAGCAATACCCTATTAAGAAATTGCAGTGTATTCTCACTGTCCCAGACTTTTGCTGCAGCATTTGGGGGAAAGAAAAAAAAAAAAAAACAAATACAAATAAACAAACAAAACCCAGATAAAATAATTACTACAATTCCGGGAAAGTCATCACTATCCAGTAAAAACAAAATAAAAAAAAAAATATCTACACAAGTCTCTTTTACTGAACTGCTAATGAATGGGAAAAATTTAAATACTTTCAACCTTGAATAAATAATTTTATTGTAGGTAAGTAAACAGAGTGGCAACAAATGCAAACTTACATTTTCAAAATGTGAAGGCAATTTGTGACACTTATCTCTGCTATATTTATTATATTAAAAAAATTATTGCCTATTCCTGTTATAAAAATTCAAAAAGCACATTCTCAAGGGTAGCAAATAAAATTTTTCCAAACTTTTAAAACCTCATTTCATCCTCCTTATGTGCATGGGAACATCAAAATAACATTCCAAATGTGGACTACAGCATTGTTAATGATCATACAGCAACCAGAGTAATATCCATTGAAGAAGAGGATATTATCAAGTAAGTTTTAAAGGATTTATTAAAAAAAATAAATAAATTTTTATTTTAAATGTCAGTTATATTTTCAACAACCCACACCTTGTTAAATATTTTTTTCATGTGCTGAGATTATTTCGCATTTTGACTTTGTGGAAAAATACTGAAAACACTTACCAGGAAGGAGTGCCTGCCTTGGCAATAGTTCACAGACTCATGGAATGGTTTGGGTTAGAAGGGCCCAAAGATCAGCTAGTTTCACCCCCCACACCTCCCCCCCCAAGGGTAGGGACACCTTCCAATAGACCAGATTGCTCAAAAACCCCATCCAGCCTGGCCTGGAACACTTCAAGGGATGGCGCATCCACAGCTTCTCTTGACAACCTGTTCCAGTGCCTCACCACCCTCATAGTAAAGAATTTCTTCCAAATATCTAAACTAAACCTTCTCTCTTTCAGTTTAAAACCATTGCCCCCTTTTCCTGACACTATCTGCCCATATGAAAATTCCCTCTCCTTTTTATAAGCCCTCTTTAAGTACTGGAAGAATAATGTGGTCTACCTGAAGCCGCCTCTTCTCCCTGCTGAACGACCCCAGCTCTCTCAGCCTGTCTTCATAGGAGAAGTGCTCCATCCCTCTAATTGTCTTGGTGACCTCCTCTGGATTCACTCCAACAGGTCCATGTCGCTCCTGTGCTGGAGACCCCAGAGCTGGATGCAGCACTCAAAGAGATGTCACACCAGAGCAGCGTAGAGGGGGAGAATCACCTGCCTCGACCTGCTGGCCACTCCTCTTTTGATGCAGCCCAGGACACAACTGGCCTTCTGGGCTGTGAGCACACACTGTTGTGTCCAGGTTTTCTTCCACGGGAACCCCCAAGTTGTTCTCGACAGGGCTGCTCTCAATGACTTCTCCCAATCTGTACTCATGTCTGGAATTCACCAAATCCACCTTGCGCTTGGACTTGTTGAACTTCATGAGGTGCTCGTGTGCCCAGTGCTCAAGCTTGGCCAGGTCCCCCTGGATGACATCCCTTCCTTCTGTTGTGTCAACTGCACTGTGCAGCTTCCTGTGGTCTGCAAACTTGCTGAGGGTGCACTTGATCTCACTGCCTGTGTCGCCGATGAAGATACCGAAGAGCATCAGACCCCAGACAGAGGGACACTCCTCATGACCATCTTCTACCCAGACACAGAGCCACAGACCACAATGCTCTGGCTGCACCCATCCAGCCAACTCTTATCCACTCAACAGCCCATCCACATCTTTCCATTCTGGAGATAAGGATGTCATGTGGGACAGTATCAGAGGCCTTACAGAAATCTAGATAGATGATATCTGTCGTTCTTCCCTTGTCAGCCATTGCCATCACTCACCACAGAAGGCCCCCAGATTTGTCAGGCACTATTTGCCCTCAGTAAAGCTGTGCTGCTGCCTCGGATCATCTCCTTGTCTTTTATGTGCCTTAGCACATCTTCTAGGAGGATCTGCTCCGTGATCTTCCCAGGCACAGAGGGGAGCCTCACCAGTCTGTAGTTGATGGATCATCCTTTCTCCCCTTTTCACAAACAGGAGCAATGTTTCTTTTTTCCAGTCACTGAGGCCTTTGCCTGACTGTCATGACTTTAAAAATATGATGGAGAGGGGCATGGCAACATCAACCAGTTCCCTGGGGACCCTGGGATGCCCATCATCAGGTCCAACAGACTTGTGGTTAATCAGCTTCAACAAGCCATTCTCAACCTGCTTTTTGCTTACAGTGGGAGGGAATTCACTTCCTCTACACTTGCCCAGAAGATCAGGAGTTTGAGAGAAGTGGGAAGTCTAGTTGATCAGGAACAAACTGTCTGCAATTGAATCCCAGTATTGAGCCCATAGCCCCTGTGATGCCAAATATCACAACACTTGTAACCCAAATTCAGGGAACGTCCCCCTCATGGATGGCAACCCTAGATATATTTTTATGTTATATATATAATATATATAACAATAATATATATTTTTATGATTCCCAATGGTAAAAGGTATTTTTGACCTTAGTCTGAAGAGTTAAACAAGTTGAGCCACAGGAGGGGGAACTCTGAAGAGTATATTTGGTTCTATTCAGGCACATACAGGCATGTTTTTGGCAAAATATTAAAAGCACATACAAAGGATAAGTTATTGCAAGTTAACAGCATGGAGAGTTTGCAGATTTATTTGGAGTCCTCGCTTTGTGCTTCGCTTTCTCCAGTGATCTTGTTTCTTGCCAAGTCCCTGTATGCATCCCCCATTACCCGCTCTCTAGGTGGTCCAAGATCTTCCAGCTGTTTTCTCTGCCTGGTTTCTAATTCCTCCAACCTCTTGCGAAGCAGGGAAAGCTCCCTTTGATGCTGCTCCTCCTTGGAAAAAGAAAAAAAAAGGCTCTATTACATTTTGCACACCTACAGGGGATCAAGATGAGCAATAATTTATTTCTTTAATGAAAATAAAAACAGTGACGTCCAAAATATCCTTATTTGTTAAATTTTACTCATCAGTGTTTTGTGGATATTGTTCTGACATTCATGATGAACAGCATCAGCAAAAAATACAGGTGCAACTGTTCCTCCTCTCAGATGAAAGAGCACACAAACCTGAGACCTCAGTAACCAAGAATCCATGAAGTCAACCTGGTCAACCTCAGCCAGAGAGATTTTCACCCTCAGAAGCTCAGCATAAGATTTTTAAACCACACAAGAAATCAAAAGGAGCAATACTGTTTTGTAATAATGAAACCATGGTGTGAGAATAACACTTTCTCAGAAGGAGCCACTTAACCCCTCTCAGGAGAAGGACAAAGTACAGAGAACTGGGTTAAAACTGCCTGTTTGTTACATTCTATAACATATCCTTTGTCTTTCAAGCACTCCTTCCTATTGCGAGAAAGGGAACATCTCTAGATATCTCAAAGTTTCCTTCTGTTCAAAGGTAAAATACTCCTTCCTTAAGACTAAGATCTGTAAAGAAGGACTGTTCTAGTACCCTCTTTTGTTTTACTATTTTCACAGCTTGTAATATATCACCACCTGAAGAAGAGGGAAGGACACCTCAGACCCAGGAGGCAGGGCGGACGATGGCATTATCCCAAGTGGATTGAGTGGCGGTATGTTAGGGTTCAGAATTATACTCCGGAATTCATTGTGTCGACGTTGCAGGTCCTTTAGTCTCTTCTGGAGGCGTGTGTATTCCTCAGAGGAAACGTTCTGCCTAGGAAATAAGAGACTTATTGCTCAAAATCTTTGTTATCCCAACACAGCAGCATATCTCTCCACGAGTGCTCTGTTGTTTACTATCCCTTGTTTACTACCTATCCCAATATACCAGAGGAACTGGAAGGTACTGCATGTCTGTCTAAAAGTCCCACTACACATTAAGATATCTGCTGTATTATAGATTAGAATTTACATAGAATAAACCAAGCTTTTAATACCATTCACAGAAGTGAAGCACAGGAGCCACATTAAATAACTATTCAAATCCAGCCCTCCACAGGGTCCCAATGAACAGAAAAAAACAGGACTTTATCTTTCAAAGAGGATGCTAAGTCTGTCCCTCTTGCAATTCTGAAGTCTTTTTCACTTCCTTTTTCGAAGAGATTCCTACAACTGTGTCTGCCAGATATTTTTCCTCTCTTTCATCCCAAAGACACAGCCCTGCAGTTGTCTTACAAGCTCTCAGTTGCCCATCCTAAACAGAATCTATCCAAACAATTCTAGTGCGGAAAAGGCCATTAAACTGGACTCTGGTTACTAAAGTAGTAAAACCACTTCAATTTGTAAGTCAGATTTTGGGCATATATAATTTTTCAAGCTAAGAAAAAAGCAAAGTTAATTACCTAATTAACATCTGATTTTGTTTTTCTAATTCTTCCATCTTGGCTTCCAAAAGTTCTATTTTTTCACGCATCCTCCTTTGTTTATTGTCATTGAGAGTCTTTCTCTGTCAAACAGACATTTCAAACAGCTAAGTAATACTTTCATAGATTAAATCCTGTAAAAATTAAATCTACAATGTACATGGTTTCAAGCTGTGACACTTTATAGGATTTTCCTTCCTTAAGAGGAACTGTGTTGTTTGAAGGTGCTTGGACTACCATGATGGGAAACAAATGCAACCTGCAACTGAAGGATGCAGAGCTGCTGGTGACTCCTTGGTTAGTGACCAATAGTACTAACAAACACCAACCGTATTTGAGAATTACAAAGTTCATTCTTTAAATGACCATGTATACATAAGTATAAACATGACCAAGAAAGTATGCTTGCTTCTTTTAATTTTTTTTCGCTCATGTTGATCTTAACTTTTTACAACCATAAAGGCTACTAGTAGGTTTTATAACCTGTATACGTTCAGTGTATAACACTGCTAATTAATCCTGAGTTTTTATAAACAATCTGTCTTTCCTTTAAAATTATTTCAGAAAAAGCAAGTTTAGAAGAGATAAAATTTTAATATTCCATCAAGGAAAAGTAGAACATCATTTGCCTAGCATCTGAAACATCATCCTCCCTAATCAAGGGGTCCACCTCTTAAATAACCATAAATACACACATGTATGTGTAAAGAAAGCCTCACAAAATCTTTGATGGCATTATAAGAAAGTTGTTGGCTGTAGTATAGTTTTACATGCCACTTCAACCTATCTCTGTGCTGGTCTCAAAGAACCCAATATATTTAGTTATTACATTAAGGAGACTGCAAATTAACACTGAAACAGTTCTAGCTGGCCAGCGTAAAGCTGAAATTTTCATAAGCTGGATCATTCATAAAGGAAGAGATAACATGCCTTTTTCTGAGCAACAGCAGCTCGACACAGCTTGTTCCTCAGTTGGTTGTATTTTTCTTCATAGTCTGTGATGCACTGAGTAAGCATACGCTTCTCCTGCAGCCATTCCATACGATGGCATTCTAAAGTCCTTTGAAAAAATCAGGTTAAAAGATTAGGAGGTTATACAAACAAAGCAGTATGGTCAGGTAATGCCTTATGATGCTTAAAATAGATGCATCTTTTCACAACTTGTACCTTTATATACTTGAAGGATCTGATTTAAATTTGATTATGCTAACAATTTAATTGTGACTAACAACATTTGAACCTGTGCATTAACATTATCCTAGGTTTTGTTCAACCACAAGGCAAATTTTGAAAAGTGATTCTAATAAGCTAGTTAATTGTTGGCATGCTACCAAACCACCCACAGAAAATTCTTACATTCAGGTCAAACAATCACACTGGAAAGCAAGAGTAGACACCTATGCCAAACGTCAGCTGTCAGAAGAGTTGACAACTACCTCCTCAGTTTGGGAGAACAGGGTGCTGCCCTATGGAGTCTCTTGTGTCTTTGTAAAAGACTTGACTAGTGTGTGCTCCCAACCAGAACACCACCTCAACGGGAAGCTCCCACCAATACGGTTTCTAGACAACATTCCAGCTGAACACACACCACCAATGGCATATGGTATCTGATTAGATCTCTGCATGGCTAAAACATACTAAAATTAGGCTGCGTTCTCTAGCAGTGGATAGGAAAGGAGCCAGTTTCTCTCTGCTGCCTTGTTTGTTTGGGCTATCTGCATTGGGAGTCAAAGCAGGCAAGAACTAACTGCATATTTAATTACATTACTGTTAAAGAATAAAATCAAATGTCGAGATTCTATGCAGCAGTTTTTAAGAAGGCAAAGGCTTGGTATCAGTGCATCCATACCACTCTTGTCCTGGGCTGATGCAATTTCCCTACAGGGACTGAATGAATCTCCATAAATTTCTCATCAAATGACCTTTCCCTTCCCCACAGTAGAAATATTAGGCATCACCCACTCATGTTGAAAAGGAGGTCCTGGCCCCCATGGTAACTGTCACAGCTCTTTTAATAGATCCACTGTGGCCTGTACTCACTGATGACTGTAAAGTGCTAGTTCCCAGGAACCAAAGCACTTTCGACGAGCAGTGCTTAGCAGTACAACTATTTCAGTTGAGGCAGTGGTTAAAAATGCCATGAGTTGGATATGGGTTTTTTTGGGGGTGTTTTTTGGGGTGGTTTTTTTGGTGGGGTGGTTTTTTAAATGCCACTAACACTGTTTCTGAAGTGCTTAACAAGTGTCTATTTGAGCTCATCTCTGATCTGTATCAGTTTGCCTTCAGTTTGCCTTCAGTTCTTTTTCTCATTTCACAAGCCTGACACAGCCAGGCACACAGCTGCTTTGCCTACTTATGCTCAATGCTCAACTGGCATTATTTTGTTTATCTGAACTTTTTATCTTATGCTTTCTTATCTTTAGGTCCCTATTTCACTTCCTCTTGCTTTGGTGTAACTTAACTCTTGGAGTTCAAGCTCATAAGAATTACTGAACTGAGGAAGGATGTGCTATCACCCACGAATTCATAAGAAAGATGGAAACACGTCCCAAGGCTCCCAGGGTAGCAAGGGGACAGACCTGCAGGGCTCACATGTAGGCCACAAAGTTTCATTTCTGCAGCATCAGCCTTGGTGTGTCTCCTGTTACCTACAAACTTGTACGATGATCTCTGAGAACTGACAAGTTCCTTCCATTGCCTTCCCAGGAAAATCTAGTCCTGACTGGTCTGTGGTCCAAAACTATGTCAATGACAATGGCAGTCCCACTCAGATAACAGCAACAATCTCACTCGGAATGTGAATACACCTCCCTAAAGTAAATACATGCGAAGTATTTAACATGCCACTGACAACTGAACATACTCTCCAGTCCAAATGCAATAGTATTTACAAATGTTAAACCAAAAAGCAATAGTTAAACTAATGACAACAAAGCAATTGCAGTACCAAATCATAGCAAAAGAGATGTTAAAAACAAAAAAAAGGCCACATTATACTCTTTGGTAGTTTTGTATTTAATCTGGGACACTGACTTTTTAAAAAACCCACCACGCAATAATCCAGTACAAGTTAGACATGTATTTGGTTATTAGGCTAGGAAATTCTGAAGAGCCTTTGCATTGGATTTCTGTGGCCAGGTTTTGGTAGCAGAGGGGCTACAGGAGTGAATTCTGTAAGAAGCTTCTCCCACATCTGGTAGAGGCAATACCAGCCAGCTCCAGGACAGATCTGCACTGGCCAAGGCCAGACCAATCAGGAATTATAGCAATGCCTCTATAACATTTTTAATATATAAATATAATATTTAAGAAGGAAAAAAAGTTATCGTGCAGATGGCAATTCCAGTCAGAGAAGATTGGAGTGAGAACATGTGAACAACAATGCAGACACCAAGGTCAGTGCAGGAGGGGGGCAGGAGGTGCTCCAGGCACCAGAGCTGAGGTTTCCCTGCAGCCTGTGGTGCAGACTATGGTGGAGCAGCTGTGCCCCTGCAGCCCACGGAGGACCATGGACCATGGGAGAGGAGCCCACACTGGAGCAGGTTTTCCTGATAGGACCTGTGGCCCTGTGGGGGACCCATGCTGGAGCAGCCTGTGCCTGAAGGACTGCACTCCATAGAAAAGTGACCTGCACTGGAACAGTTTGTGAAGAACTGTTGTCTGAGGGATGGACTCACGCCAGAGAGGTCCATCAAGGACTATCTCCTGTGGGAGGGGCCCCATGGGAGCAGGGCAAGGAATCCTCTCCCTGAGCGGTGGCAGAAACAACAACTGTAACCCCCATTCCCCATCACTCTGCACTGCTAGGGGGGAAGAGGTAGAACTTAGAAGGAGGGAAAGATGGGGGGTGTTTTTAAGATTTATTTTACTTCTCATGCTCCTGCTCTGATTCTGTCAGTAATAAATTTAATTAATATCCCCACTTTGAGTCTGTTTTGCCTGTGATGGTGATCAGTAAGTGATCTCTCCCAGTCCTTATCTCAACTCAGGAACCCTTCGTTATATTTTCTCTCCTCTCTCCAGTTGCAGAGGGGAGTGAGAGCAACTTTAGTGGGTACTTGACAACCAGCTATGGGCAACCCACTACACCATTTCAGGCTGACAAATTAATCTTTAAATTCCAGGAAAGTGTTTATTGCTGTATGGAATCTGCTGAACAAGTTTCAGCTCCCTTCAGCATTTATTATCATATTTTGATGGTTTGTGGTCAAGCTTGTGCAAAAAAGAAAGTGATTGTTTTTAATGTTGATGAGAGGAACCAGAAGATATCCACCTCATATCAGCTAAAAGTATCTAGTGGGAGGTGAAAAGAAGTATATACATGTGTATACTGACTGGGTCCCCAAAATATTATCAAAGCATAATACAATGCTTGAATGCTTTTTTCACCCTCACTGCTTAAACACTCTAAAAAGAATTGTGTCTGAAACTCTAGATCCACTTACTGAAGTTTGACATTCACTTCAGTATAAGTAGAATTTCATTTTATACAAGCAGTTTATCTCCACTAGTCAATAATATATTTTAACAGACATGAATGGAAACAAACTCGTATTTTTGAAGTTACCATCAGCAAAGTTTTCATTCATACTGTACAACAGAACATACAGCCATTTTTTACAACTGTCCAATATTTCCTGTTCACTTTCACTTTCTGACTTTACTTAACTATGCATTGTAAATTCTGGATAATCTACATGATAGGAAGACAAGCAACATAAAAAATAAAGCCAAAAGAAAAAAATTACTTCTCTCTTTCCAGTTGAGCTTTCTCTGCCTGTTGACATTCTTGTTTCAGTCTTTCTATTCTTTCCTTCAACTTCTCATTAGACTCCAGCAAATCCTTTTCTGATTGAGAAAGTGAGGCAAGCTGGAGTTGCATGTCGTGGATTTGCTACCAAAAAAAAAAAAAAAAGAATGTTTTCCATTTGAGAAGGTATGCAAATAACTGACAATTTATTTTGAGATACTGAGACAATGCAAAATGGAAACAGCAACTGGCTTTAGCTTTAGTTTTTCATTAGCCTGTTTTACTTGTCCCTTTTCTCCTTGCTCAGCAGTTTCTCCAGAAGCGTTACAGTAAATAACTACAGACAGAGAAGGTTTTCTATTGTAGTTAAAATAAGAAAGTGAGGCAGGACTCTTTGGTCATTGACATGACCCCCAGAACTTCAGAATTTCAACATGAAGCCCCAGGGCAGAACAGAACTAGAGGACCACACAACATTTAGTAGCAGAGCTGTGGAGCTACCCAGGCTCTCATAACACACAGTGTGTTACAACCAGCAGTGATTTGTACCAACCAGTTCACAAAAGTAGGGAAGCACAGAGCCTGAAAAATCCAACCTCTGCAGTCAGCATATAGAAGTTATTTCCCTTTCCTTTTCCTCCCCACATGGAAACATAGACACTCCAATTTCCGATTTCTGGAGGAAAAAAACAGTTGCCTTGAACTTCAAGTGCACGCACCTTGCAGAGTACTTTGATGCACAGTTATTGTTACCTACTAAGTAATATCATGGGCGAGCAGGAGTTAAAAAAATCAGGTTTTATTTTCAACACTGTCATCAATTGACTCTGCAATAGAAATATACCTCTTTACACTAGTTTGTTCATTTATGAAACATCTGTTAAGCACTTGAAGAACCTCAGATGAGAGATGCAGTGTAAATGCAAAGCATTACCTAGAAACACTTTAGAAGTCTCCATGGAAACTGAATCTCCAGTTAAATAGTGCATAACCGTATTCAATATACCAGTTCATAAACATTCAGCTTTGAAATCCCAGGTACCCACAAAACACATGAAGCAAAAAGCTGTAATTCATTTATAAAGGTCCAGGAAAACATAACTGATTTCTGAACACTTCTCCTTTCAAATATCCACAGTATGCATTTTGTTCCTAAGGAAAAAAAAAGCCTTAAAAATTCAATCTAGTCTTCAAACACGGTGACATGGTAACTACAGGAAAGAATGTACTTCTCTATAAGACATCACAATGCAATAAAACCTTACCTGTTTCTGATCAGCACTTTCACGTTTCCATTCTTCCAGCTCTTTCCTCTGCATAGTTTGCTGCTGAATTTTCAATCTAAAATTGTGTAAGATAACCTTATTTTTATCTAATCAAAATACAGATGTTATAAATCAGTCTGACAAATAAATAGCATTATTTGAGAGGCTGACAAATGTGAAAATATGTTTTCATCAATTATTAGAATTCACATAGGAGTAAAATACATTGATTTGGTTGCTTTTAGAGTATGTCTTTTGCTCATTTTATCACACCGACCTTCATACAAAACTATAGTAACCCAAGTTAACTCACAACCATAATAACCAACTCAAAGAGACACCAGTATTAGGGTCCCAGCTTGCCAGTTGCTGATATGATGTCTTTGTGGAAGGAGAAATGGTTTATGCTAACACTGGGGCTAGGCCAACAGCCAGCATGGAACCAGCTTTAACAAATGTGTGTTGCAAAGTTATGACTTAAAAATTTTCATTGAAATTATATAATATTTAAAGGTTTGGATGAAAAATTTTATTTTTTTAAACAGTTCATTTTTAATTCGGCTCTCTTTTTTACATAACGCAAAAGGTAATTTTGTTTAATCTACTATAATGAACATTTTGTAATGAAGATCTCTGTGTCTATGAATAGTAGACTTTTATACTGCCTACTGTAAAGAAATTAAGGGGGGGAAATGAGAAATTCGTGCTAAGATTAGAAAAGCCACACTACCTCAAACGCTGAAGTTCCTTTTTGCTAGATTCTTCTGCCATCTGTGCAGCACGTAGTTTCTCTTCATACTGATCCTTTTCAGACTGCCTCCAAGTATCTTGTTCCAGTTTCATCTTCTCTAGATGAGCTAATCTGTTCTCGAGTTCTAACCTGCGATGTTATTCAACATGCACACAAGAATCATTACAAAATGCCAGAAGTGTTTACTTGTTAAGAGTGACATTTTTCAAAGTAACTCAAAACACTCCTCTTTTAGAAGTTGAGAAGTAAAGCAACAAACATACTTTTCATTCTGTAAGGCTGCAATATTGTCAAAACCTTCCTCTTTGGCAGCTTGCACTTTACGAATTAGCTCCCGATCCTTTTCTACTAAAAGCACTTTATGACGTTTAACAGCTGCCTTAAGAATTTCCTTGTCGGACAGCAATCCTGCATTATACATTAAAAAAAGTTAAAATGTCATTACTGATAACAAGCTGATGAAATCCAGTATTCAAATAACTTTATAAATTCATAAAGGGGAGCTAGAAATCACAATGCACAGGACAGAATGAACAGGGAAGGGGAAAAAAACAAAACACAGGAAAACCAGAAGAGATGTGGCTTTTTCTCACTATAACAGCAACATTTCAAAACTTTTAAAAAGTAACCTTTATACTGGAATCTCTGTCTACGAGAGTTTATTATTTGCATATACAAAAGTAATTAAACACTTGATATTATCACAGCTTTAAACTCTAGAGCAATTTATACTAAGCAGTTGTGTCTGGATTTAAAAAAAGAAGTATTCCACAATATGAAAAGGTCAAGCAAGAAGTTTTTCTTTTTCTGGAAAAATTTACAGTAACCAGTAACTGGGTACCAGCGAAACCATAGTAACCAAGCTACAACAAATTTCACATTTTAATCCAAATATACTACCAAATTAGGCAATTCTGAAACTATGAATCTATAGGTAGGGACAAATGATCCAAATTAAAATCTTGTGACTGAGACACCTGTGTTCACTGGAAAATAGGCCAACTTGCTCTAACAATGACATCTGGTTATTTAACTAATTCAATCATGCAAATTGAATTCCACAGCAAGTTCAGGCAAACTTTAAACTTGTCTGTATTTAGTTTCATATTTCTTAGGGCCCAACATTTTTAGTTTGCAATACACTGTAAGTGCATTGTCAATACAGAAAACACCACTTTCTTACAGTTGCTCTTAGTGAGCTTAAAATTAAAGCAAGTAAACAGAAATAAGTATTTCAGGAAGACAAAGGTACTGTTTTGGGGTAATGGCAAATCAGTGAGGACAGTTCTCTTTAAAGCTGTGTAGTGATTTAAATCAACACACAATGGGTTCTAGAAAGTGTTGGCCTTTTCACTCTAGAAAGCTATTTGAAGTTGCCGACATATTCAGCTGCATCAGGTAGCTCAGAACGTCGCCTATTTCCTTCAAGGAATGAGCTGGAAATCACATTTTGTTTCACATGGCAGCCTTACCGAATTGGTATCAATTCCATGGACACAGAATCAAAAACCAAACCAACCACTGAAGACCTACAGTACTTATAGTTTCAAGCCGAGTGTGAAAGACTCTAGAATTTAGCAACAATAGAAAAAAATGACCACATGAAGCACCTGTTTTAAAACAGATTATATTCAAATTGTGACACAAATTCACTAATTTACATAAACACAAAATTGTCCTGTAACTGTTTTCAACTTCACAGAGTGAGTGAAACCACGCAGCTACTTCAGATACAAAATGACTTGTCAGATCTATGACCTGGATCAGAAGAAGAAGGTGAAGGCTGCTGGGGAGTTTTCAGAGGAAAAATAATTGTATTATTGTAACTAGAAGTTACAAAAGAAATAGTAAAAAAATAATTTCACACTTTACCATCCATTTCACTTTGAATCTTGTTTTTCTCCCTTTCTACCTCACCCTTTGTTCTTGCTGCCTCCAGTTTGACATTTGTTAATTCCAATTTATGTGAATGTTTAAGTTCTTCTACCTATGAATTAGAAAAAAAAAACACCGAATCAACTATAGTAAATTTATATATATTTACTTCACTTCTGACTAAAGATTCCTCAGAGTCAAGCTAAAATAAATTTCATCTCCATAAGTAAAACAAAACAGTGATATCCAAAACCCAATTACCAAATGCTCCCCCAAGTAATTTCAATTTG